CTTCAACAGCTGAATTCTGATTCTGCAAACCCAAAATCTTTGACCTTTAACCTCAGTTGTAGTTGTAGACACTTAAGAGCAAGTGTTGTGGTACCTACAAAAGAAATTCTAGACCAAAAGAGAAATCAGTAACCAAAAACGAAAATAACAAAGCTTGATCTCAAGATCTCTACAAATCCTACTGAACAAAGCATTCCCCTACCGGCAACGGCGCCAAATTGATACAAGACTTTTTGGGACTTGATTCAATTACCCAAGCTTGTACTAATCAGTTGTAGTATATCATAGGGTTTTATCAATTCAAAAGGGGAGAATAAAACAGTAAGAATGCAATAGAGATCTTAATTCAAGCAGATAAAGATGGTTTTAGATGTCTAACAACCTAAGTGAGCAAGCAAAGAAGCAAAAGAAGGCAAAAGAAAGCAATTAAAGAGCAGTAATGGCAAAGAGAAACAAAGCAAAAACAGAGTAAAGGATGAACTAAAACAAAGTAAAAGCAAGACTTCAAAGATTAAAAGATGGTTCAAGATCAAGGCAATGGTGATAGGGTGATTAATGTTCATGTCTAGGGTGATCAAAACAAGCAATTCCAAACACTCAACCTTAGGTAAGGAACACTAATATAGACTAATCCAATCTCTTGGCATTAATCCCTTTTCTAATCACATATTCAAGATAAATCTCTTTATTCAAACACATAATCATCAAGAATTAAAATCAAGTTCCATAAAACCAATTAGCATGCTAGACATCTAATCTCTTAGGCTAGGTTTACTAATCTCTTATACAATATATCAAACATCAACTCACACTCTCATGCATAATCAATGTCTAAAGGCAATTTCTCATCAATATTGTACTAGGCACATTCAAGCAAGAAATGATAGATGCAAAGACTCATGATTATCTAAACACCATTTTCAAGCATTGAACTTCATTCAGGAATTTCATCAAACACTTGGTGTGCATGTGAAAACCTAAAATCAACTTCTCCAACAAAGAGGTACTAAGCATTAAGTACAATCATATAAGAAAGGGAATGAGAAGATCTAAGCCCTAATCAACCTAAACAATCACTAAAATCACCCCATCTGCCCTAATCTCAAACCTAAAGCAAACTACTCACTAATCATGGTGAAAACCATCGAATCTATGAAGAAAAGATATTTAATCATGACTAGGAAGACAAAAGATTAAGGGAAATGCAAACTTTTATTGAAATAAACAAAGATTCAAATTACAAAATCAAAAAGCTCAAACAAAGAAGAAGAGACTGCTGGGTAGAGAGTTGTTCCCATAAATTAGAGATTTTAAGTATTTATAGGAGTCTGAGCAAAAATAGCAAAATTGTAAATAAATGGTCTTCAGTCTGGGATCACATCAATCAGTTGCATCGATCAGTGCTTGATCGATGTGAATCCTATCGATGGGCTTCTGCTGGTCAATGCAGGTTGAGCGGTTTCACGCAAATTGCGATATCTGTTGAACGGCATATCAAAATGACCTAAAACCAAGTCCTCCTGAAAGCTAACTCACGTGGCTACAACTTTCATGAAGAAGTGAAGATGCTGAATAGAGACGGAGGCTACTCGTCCGAGCTGATCTTCAAGTCAGTCAAGATCAACTATAAAAACTCCAGATGGACATGTTCTCACTTTATTCGCCGAACTGGGGGGGACTTACTGTTAGAGGAGAAATGAGCACATTTTCTAAAAAGCTTTCTCTAGCAATAACCTAAGCCCATCAGGACCGTGAAGACCGCGCCGACCTAGCTCGGACTAAAGGAAATATTCTGAAGATAACCATCGAAGATCGGAAACATCGGATCAGCTCGAAGGATAAAGGAGAATTTCCATATATCTCGGAGAATAAGGAATATTTTCATATCGCAAATATAGAAATATTAACCGAAAGCAAAAAGGAAAAGGAGTTCGGAGCAACCGACCTCCTATCCCAATAAATAAAGAAGACCTCGAAGCTAAGAAGAACAACTCATACATTATAGAGAGCAGCAGAGCTAATCCCAGAGACTCCAACGCTTTCTAGTTGACTTCACAAAATATTTTTTCACTTCGGTATAACCTCCCGGTTATACTTTTCTTTGTAATCGCTTCGCTAACTTGCTATTAATAAAAGATCTTATTCTCCGAAACCCACAACTGTTAATCAAACCCTAGTGGTGATTTTCTGATTCAACACATAACTATTACTAGTGCCTAGTAATTTTCTAGTTTTCAGTAGACATCGCAAACTTCATCTTATCTACTGCGTTGGTCAAAACCTTACATACAACGAACAACTATTATGACCCTTCTTTAAAGAAGCCTTATTGGCTGCGAGTTTGGGTAAACGTAGTGAGCTAAAGCCTTGGTTAAGCTTATAATTATTTTGTTAAGATATATGTGACATTTATCTCCGACAAAAAAAAAAAAAAGAGTAATTTATCTATGTTCTTCCTCAGGGAAATTTATTGAGTATGTTCTCAATTGTTGCTGATTATATATAAGGGTTCTGATAATTAGTTTGAATGCTTTTGAATTTCTCGATTATGTGATTTTTGTAGGAAAGGCAAAGTCAAACAGCAACCCTATAATTGCTACCATGTGATTATGTGGAGCAATGTGACAAATTAAACAAGACAACAAAGAGGTTGAACACGCAGAAAGTCGGATAAGGAAGTTACCAATTAATTGTGGCACAAGGAGGAGATCGAGCAACTCATGAGGAACCCACAATACGTAGGCTTGGACAAAAGCAACATTAAGAGGGTGTATTGAAACTAAAATTTTAGAGAATTTAAAAAGATTTGAGTATTAATAAAATTTTAGATGATTTTATGTGGATTAGGGAAATTGATATGATTTGATATTAAAATTATATGAAATCCCACCTAAAACAATGAGATTTGGTTTTCTAGATTTTTAACTAATTAACTCCACCAAATCATTTAAAAGTACTCAATATTTTATAAAATCTACTATTTAAAATATTTCTAATAACATTGGATTTGATTTGGTTTTTACAAATTCTTAATTGAATAACATGGATGTTGAAGTGATTTTAATTGGTTTTATATAAATTTCATGTTCAATAACATGAACTTTGTTAAGACATTTAGAAATCATTAGTTAAATAACATAAATTTTTTAAATAACCACAAAGTCTTCTAAATTTTTTGTTTCAATACACCCCTAAATCTTAACCTATTCGCGTAACTTTTATAAAAACAACGCAAAATGTTACATTTTAACATAAATCTGAAAGTGATGCTAATGATAATCATTTTGTTTTGTCTTAATGCCAATTTTGTGATTCGTATTAAATAATTGATGTTTTTTTTTGTAACAAAAATAATTGATGTTAAAAACTAGTTTTCTAGCAGTTAACAACACTCTAGCTGAAATGCTGAACTACCAACACCGGATCGGTAGACACTCATTTCTTAGGTGGTTTAATATACTAAGCTATTACTTATACTGAAATAGTCTATTTATTATTTTCTTCTGTTATTTGTATTTAGATTGATAATTATAAGTAGAAATAGGTAAACTGATAAACCAATTCTTTTATCATTATTTTTCTTAATAGCGTTTTTTGTTTAAATATTATAAATATATTTCATATAGTAAATCCCCTATATATTAATTGAGAAGCATTTTTAAAGAGTAACTTCATTTTTATAAGTAGTTATAGTAGTGTCATTATACTGATGTGTCAATCTCATATTCATTTTCAGCTAATTATTTTAGCAAATCTATATGGCGACTTCGTATTTCTATCCAAGTATAAAATATGTTATGCATGATATTTAAATTTTAAATTAATTTATATAATAATTAAATTACTCTATTTTTCATAAAAAATATATTGTCAATATTATAATATAATATTATATGAAATTCATATAAATTTAATTATATTTAATTATATTAAATAATTTTAAAATTATACTAAATTTAAATAAATAATAATTATTTTACTTCGCATATATTACTTAGAATGCAGGTTATTATCTAGTATATATTATTTTGCGGTCTTATGCTGTTATGCATACAAACTAGTTAGTAAAGAAGCGGCATCAGTATATATTATAGTAGTGAAACACTCAAAATGCATTTTTTTAGTAGTGGATGCGATATGTTAAATAAAAAGGAGCCATTTTAAAGTGATTTCGTGGGGATTCTGATATTTGTAAAAATATATAATAGAGACATCGAATTCTCACAGATTATAGTTAATCCTTCATTTTCAGAACTCTATATTTCACTATCTTATTGTGTGAGTTTCTTGCAAGTTTGTGACACAATATATAACGGCCTTTTGTCTTTACTTTCAATTGTCAAAATGTTTGATGTAGGCCGGTTAACTAGAGTAAGTTACTTTTTCTTTCTTTAAATAAAGATATATAGAATTGAAGAAAGTGTAGGAGAAAAATGGATGAAAAAAACAACTTAACATATGGAACTAGATATACGGAAATAATAATATCAAGAAATGAAGCCAAAATGATCATATATATCGAGATTTAGTTTAATTTTCAAGCTAATTTTGTTCCCATTCATAAATTCCCAAATTAATTTGTAACTATCTTTAACGTTTCTTTTGTTAATCAATGAAGCCAAATATTTCATTTGAAGGGTTGACGAAAGAAAATTATTTTGTATAAGTTAAGTTATTAACAAGTTAGGTATTGTACGTAGGACGATTGTAATTTGTTTCGTTACGCTATTGGTTAATTTGTGTACCCAAAAATATTTCATGTTCTGTATCGAACATCTACGGTGTCAAAAGGCAATATGACAAAATGTGGGAAAACACTTTTAAAATAGACCATAATTTAGAGCACTTAGAGTGAGCGTCTTTATTTTTACGATAGCGGGATTTAACCTATATAATTCGTAGTGATAGCAACGTTCAAACAACTACAGTTTAGAAAACATGAAGAAAAACTAGTTGATCTTTTCATTTGGTTTCGTAGATGATAATTTTGGGCAATAAATGAAAATTTAACTTCTAACACCGTTATATAAACCCTAAGCCATTCCCCTAAAAAAACTTATCTCACAAACAGCTATACCTAACTCTCTAAGTACCAAAAAATGGCGGGCTACAACCTCGAAGCTATCGAAGCGGAACCATTGAAAGATGATCTGGATATTGTGATCCCAACCATCAGGAGCCTTGACTTTCTAGAACAATGGAGGCCATTTCTCAAGCATTACCACTTGATCATTGTCCAAGACGGAGACCCTTCTATCAAGATCAAAGTTCCGGAGGGTTATGACTACGAGCTCTACAACCGTGATGATATCAACAGGATACTTGGTCCTAGAGCTAACTGTATCTCCTACAAGGATGGTGGTTGTCGTTGCTTCGGTTTTATGGTTTCCAAAAAGAAGTATATCTACACCATTGATGATGATTGCTTTGTAGGTCTCTTTTGCTTACTTCTCATTAATATAAACGTTTATATTTTTATTTATGTAACGCTATATTTCGTTTCATGTAACGCTATATATAGGTGGCAAAGGATCCAAGTGGGAAAGCGATCAATGTGATAGCTCAACACATAAGGAACCTTGAGACACCTTCAACACCACATTACTTCAACACTCTCTATGATCCTTTTAGAGATGGAACTGACTTTGTGAGAGGATATCCTTTCAGTTTAAGGGAAGGTGTCCAAACGGCTATCTCCCATGGGCTTTGGCTCAACATCCCTGATTACGATGCCCCGACCCAACTCGTTAAGCCACGTGAACGCAACGTCAGGTCATAATGCTGATACATATAGAAATCAAGAGATCCTTGCTATAAATTTTTTTAGTCAAAACAAGAAAGATCCTTGCGTTTTCGGGTATCCCAGTTTTGACTTTTGAGCAATATTGTATAACTGAATTAGAATCAAATTTTCAGTGCTTCGGTTTTGGTTTGGATCGGTTCGGTTTTAGTTCTTGGTATAATTCATATTGTATATTTGGTACGCATGTACTTTTTCTTTAAAAAAAAGAGAAATTATCCATCTGTGAGAAACTTTAGGTTTATTCGGTATTAGGTTGCAACTAATTTGATTTCGATTTTGTTCTTTAATATAAAAATATTATTACAATTTCAGTGTTACATGAATATTTTGGATTGGTGTGCTTTTTTATGTCATTTAGTTTTATAACTTGGATATAAACTCTACAATAGCCCTTGCAGATATGTTGATGCAGTGATGACAATCCCAAAAGGAGTATTATACCCAATGTGTGGCATGAATCTTGCTTTCAACAGAGAGCTTATTGGACCGGCTATGTACTTTGGCATTATGGGTGAAGGTCAGCCCATTTCCCGGTACGATGACATGTGGGCTGGTTGGGCAGCTAAGGTGGTGTGTGACCACTTGGGTTTTGGGGTCAAGACCGGTCTGCCCTATTTGTGGCACAGTAAAGCTAGTAACCCATTCGTAAACCTAAAGAAAGAGGACAAGGGACTACACTGGCAAGAAGATATGGTTCCTTTCTTCCAAACTCTTCGTCTCTCCAAAGAATCTGACACTGCCGCTAAATGCTATATGGAGCTCTCAAAGATGACCAAAGAGAAGCTCACTAAAGTGGATCCTTACTTTGAAAAATTGGGAGATGCAATGGCGGCTTGGCTTGAGGCGTGGGAGGAGCTTAACCCTCCGGCTGTTGATGTGAAGGATGTTAAGACCAAATAGAGAAGATGATGATGAGTGATGCTCTTGTTGCTGCATGAATAATTATGTTGCGAATTTATTTTATCATCTATTATTTTTATTTATTTTCGTTTTGGGAGTGTATCCATTAAATAATGTAAGACCTATGTGTGATTGTTGCGTATACTTTGCTCGACATGTATTAAGCGTGATTGGAAGAAGAATAATGTCTTTTACTTTTTATTACATGGATGAATTCGTTGATTTAGTTTTATTTCCACAATTATCATTTTTCTCATATCAAACGTGGACTTGATAGCACTAGGCCTAGTGAGAAAAAAAGATATATACAAATCGTTTATGTTGGCCACCGAAATGCTTTATAAGCCTTGATTATGCCATTAGGATTAATAATGAAATATATAAAATTGTTTCGATGAAGTTTAGAGATATTTCGAAAACATTATGCGTGATCGGTCTGAGATTATTATACTAGACTTGACACAAAAAAATATTTTGTGAGGCTGAGATGGAAAATTCCATATATCAAGGATAAAGGGGGCATGTGTCATTAACTAAGGGTTTGGTTTGTTATCAGACGTTTATGTAGTAAAGTATTAAAGTGTTTGGCTGACAATGCATATACATGATTTGCCGATACGGTGTTTGGCTGATATTGCATCATAAGTATAAAAATTGCCGATTTCACTACGTTAGCGAAGGTGTTTGTTAAAACGGATCTGTCTAAGGATTTGCCGAAATCAATGAACTTTAATTTCAAAAGTAAAGCTATATCAAGTTATGAATACAATAGAAAGAGAGGATTTGGATAGTTTGGGGTCCTCGAGTGCGGATTACCCATATGTTAAATTTAGAGAATATGTATATTTTCCTATTGGTGATAAGTATAGTTTCCTATTTCTAATAGGTTAGAGTTTTAAGTTAGTCGGCTTAACCTCTTATATAAATATTTTATATGATTAATGAGAATCAAGTCAGTTCGATATCCAATTTTATATGGTATCAGAGTTTAAAAAGACCTAAAATTTTCAAACAGTTTGTTTTTCTTTTCTTTCTTTGAAGTACAAACTTCCTTTATGTTTCTTCGTTCTTCACAATGTTGTTTGATCCTCTCTCGGTCACAAGTGTTGCCGAAAAGTCTACGTGATCAAAGTTTGAGACAGTTAAAGTGCATCAATTCTTCATAGGAACTACGTGAATGAAAGAGCTGACGATAAAGTGCATCAATTCTTCATGGGTTTTGATGATGCACGTTTTGGTGGCTTGTGTACTACAATTATTGGCTTGGATCCCTTGCCAATAGTAGCAGAGGTCTACTCCAAAGTAATCTGAGAAGAACACCTTCCTCAAAAATCTGTGAACAACAGCAAGAGGCTGTTGGTTTTGTTGCTCGTCAAGCGGATACATCTGCTGGTTCTGACTCTGCGAGTGATTCTTGTTCTGATTCTTCTATTCTGTGAAGCCGATCAGTACTCTGCTCACATTGTGAACGCTCCGGACATAAGAAGAAAGATTGTTGGCAGATTGTGGGGTTTTCCGAGTGGTGGAAAGAGAGGTCAGAACGTAGTGGTTATAGTGGCCGTGGTCGTGGTGGCAAGAGCAATGGCGGACGAGGCAAAGGATAGGCTACCACAGCACATGCAACGAGCTCCAATGCTTTCTGCCTTTCCCGAGTTCACTGTTCTGCATATGCTTTCACGGATGATTGAAGAAAAATCTGGCGGCAACAATGCTACAAATTGTTGGATAATAAAAAGTTTGGTGATGTTATACTTGATATAGGGGCTTCCCATCACATGACCGGAGAGCTCTCATTTTTGGTTAATGTGGTTCCTATACCACCATGTTCGGTGGGGTTTGCAGATGGAAACAAAACGTTTGCTTGCATATGAGTGTTTTCCCATTTTCGGATAAAGTCTCGTTGACAAATGTCATATATGTGCCTTCGTTGAATTGCACGCTATCTCTGTCTCTAAAATTTTGAAACAAACGAATTGTTTTGCAACTTTTACTGATACACTTTGTGTTTTACAGGACTATTTTTCGAGGACTCTGATTAGAAGAGGTGAAGAGCATGATGGGGTATACTACTTAATGGATGTGGCTACAGCGAAGAGTCACACAGTTAGCGTCACTTCCGACAGAGTTTTATGGCATCAACGTTTAAGACATCCAAGTTTTTCAGTGCTTGCGGCACTACCAATGATTTCTATATCTTCTACTATTCATTCTAGTCCTTGTGACATATGTTTTATAGCAAAACAAACACGTGAAGTGTTTTCCGATATTATTAACAAAACTACAGCTTGTTTTGCATTAATCCATTGCGATGTTTGGGGTCCATATAGCATTTCATCCTCTTGTAGTGCAGTTTATTTTTTGACAATAGTAAACGATTTCTCCAGAGCAGTGTGGACATACTTGTTACTCGAGAAGTCAGAAGTTCGCCGTGTTTTGGTTGATTTCTTCTCTTATAGTGAGAAACAATTTGGCAAACCAGTGAAAAAAGTTAGAAGTGATAATGGCACAGAATTTATGTGCTTATCTTCATACTTCCGCGAGCATAGCATTCTTTATCAAACGTCGTGTGTCGGGACTCCTCCGCAGAATGGGAGGAGGGGGGGTCAAGCGCAAGCATATACATATCCTCAACATGTTTAGAGCATTATGTTTCAAGCACATTTACCAGTCACGTTTTGGGGTGAAGCGGTATTGACTGCCGTATATTTAATCAACCGTACGCCCACTTCTCTTCATAAGGGTCGGTCCCCTTATGAGATTCTGTATGGTTGTGCACCAGATTATGCACAATTACGAGTATTTGGATCCACCTGCTACACTCATTGTGTCACTCGTGATTAAAACAAATTTGGAGAAAGAAGCCGTTTATGCATTTTTGTCGGATATCTGTTTGGTAAAAATGGGTGGAAAGTGTTTGATATCGAAAAGAATGAGTTTTTGGTGTCTCATGATGTCATTTTTGAGAGGATGTATTCCCTTTTGCCAATGATTCTTCCTCTCCAGTCAACATTCGTAACACATCTTTTGTCCCTAATGTTGATTGGTTACTCAGTCCACCATTACCTGTAAGGGGGAGCTCCGATGTCGCCAAGGATACACCAATACATATTGATAACAGTGTTTCCCTTGTTGATATCACTACGGCTCCGTCCCCGAATACACTTACCACCGTGGAAACATTGCCTACTCCCGCAGCAGAAATCGGGGATTTTCATACCGTGGACGTTGAAATAACAGAGGATTCATATGAGGAAGATGACGGAACTTTGCATGTTGAAGTCATAGGGGTTCCACATGAGGAGGCTGACGCAAACTTGCCTGTTGACAACCTTCATCGTGGCAATAGGGACCGTCTTCCATCAGTTCGTCTGAAAAATGTTTTCACTTATAATGCAGCTTGCGATCCCAATACCCATCATACTATCCTCAACTCCATTTCAGTTTCTTCTTCGGTCCAAGGTAACACATTGTATCATTTAACAAATTACATTTCTGATGCAAGTTTTTCTCCTCAGTATCGAGCTTATCTGGCTGCTATTACCAACCAATGAGCCCAAGCATTTTAAGGAGGTAGTCCTGATTAAAGTTTGGAAGGATGCTATGACTACATAAGTCGTTGCCTTGGAGCACAAGCGAACGTGGGATATTTGTGATTTACCTCCTAATAAAGTTGCGATTGGGAGTCAATGGGTCAACAAAGCAAAGTATAATGCTGATGGCACACTAGAACGATATCAAGCTCGTCTTGTTGTTTAAGGCAATAATCAGGTGGAGGGAGAGGATTACGAAGAGACTTTTGCTCCTGTTGTCAAGCTCACTACAGTTCCCTCTCTTCTCCATATCGTCACCGCCAACAATTGGGAGGTCTACCAAATGGACGTGCATAATGCTTTCCTCCATGGAGATCTCGAGGAGGAGGTTTATATGAAGCTTCTCCCTGGCTTCCGTCACACTCATCCTAATAAGGTATGTCGTCTTCGTAAGTCTTTATACGGTCTTAACAGGCCCTTTGATGTTGGTTTAAGAAATTATCGGATGCATTGCTCAAGTTTGGCTTTACTCAAGCTTATGATGATTTATCTCTCTTCTCATACACATGCAAGGGCATTGAGCTGCGAGTCTTGATTTATGTCGACGATCTGCTCATTTCCGGCAACGATGGGTACATGATTCAAAAGTTTAAATATTATTTAAGCAAGTGTTTCTCCATGAAAGGTTTGGGCAAGTTAAAATACTTCTTTGGTATTGAAGTAAGCAGAGGACCCGAAGGATTTTTCTTATCTCAACGCAAGTATTTGTTGGACATCATTGCAGATACTGGTAATCTTGGATCAAAACCAGCTCCGACTCCTAATGAGCAGAAACAACAACTTGCTTCCGATACGAGTCCCATACTACCAGATCCTACTAGATATCGCCGGTTGGTGGGTCGTCTGATTTATTTTCTTCATACGCGCCTAGAATTGAGTTATTCTGTCAATTTTCTGTCTCAATTTATGAAAGCACCACGTGAGACTCATTAGGACTCCGCTCTTCGAGTAGTTCGTTTTTAAAGGGTTCTCCGGGTCAATGTATTTTGCTGAAGTTGGATAAATATTTAACGTTAACAGTCTACTGTGATTCCGATTGGGCTTCCTGCCCTTTGAAACAAAGATCTCTTAGTGCTTTTGTGGTATTACTTGGTGGTTCGCCTATATCTTGGAAGACCAAGAAACAGGATACTGTATCGCATTCGTCGGCCAAAGCGGAGTACCGCTCCATGTTTGCTGCATTGCGTGAAATTAAGTGGCTTCGTAGTCTTCTTAAAGGATTGGGTGTTGAACAAAAAGTGCCTACATGCTTGTTTTGTGACAGTAAAGCTGCCATACACATTGTCGGTAATCCAGTCTTCCATGAACGTACCAAACACATTGAGAATAACTGTCATGCAGTTCGGGATGGCATCAATGCGACTCATCATGTTAGTACGACTGATCAAGTGGCTAACATCTTAACAAAGGCTCTCGGTCGAGTTCAGTTTCAGTCATTATTGTCCAAGTTGGGCGTTCAGGATCTTTACGCTCTGACGTGAGGGGGAGTATCGAGGATATATGTTAAATCGAGAGAATATGTATATTTTCCTATTGGTGATAAATATAATTTCATATTTCTAATAGGTTAGAGTTCTAAGTTAGTCGACTTAACTTTTTGTATTAACTTCTTGTATAAATACTTTACATGATTGTTAATGAGAATTAAG